GAAAATAAAATCACATACTCAGGATCAACCAGGATTCTGCACAATATCAAGCAAATTCAGTCTTACTCCCTAGTCAACTCAAACACATCTGTAGACTCAGGAATAGGGGGGACTGGTGACAGGATAATGGTGCTGGCACCCGACCCGGATCATAAGCAGCATCTGACCCGACACCACATGGAATGGTGCTGGCACCCGACTCGGATCATAAGCAGCATCTGACCCGACACCACATGGAATGGTGCTGGCACCTGACCCGGATCATAAGCAGCATCTGACCCGACACCACATGGAAACCCAACGGGCAAAACTCCAGCAGGCAGAATTCCAACTGCTGTCACCTTTACTGCCATTGAAGCCACCATTGATGAAAGAGAATTAAAGGCTTAGCTCCCATTTATGCTTCATGTTGTTACCGTTAGCAGCTTTTGTATAAGTAGGAGCTCCCCTCAGCTTGGGGGGGGGACGTTCAATACTCTGGACAAAGACACTGTACTTTCTATACTGAGACAAAAGCAATACAACTATTGTTACTTTCTTATAACGTTATTATAGTATTATTATTACCGGTAACATTATTACCGTCATATATATATATATATAACACTATAACATGTGTGTCAAAATTTATATATGTGCTACTCCGTACTTGTTTTTTATTTCGTAGTTATTGTCAAAGTGTTTATAACTTTTAAATGTAAACTTTTTTTTTATTAAGTATAGTGTGAATATTTTCATTATAGTATGATATTATTCTTTTTTGTAGATGCTTTACCTACATTATAAAGGTTGAATGCAAACCCAAATATCTAAATATGCAAATTCCATTGACTACAAGTGTGAAACACATTAACATAGATAGTGACAGGTTCACATTCATGTAATCTGTTGTGTTAATTTATTTTTGTAACTTATATTTGAAACAAAAATTAAGTTGTTAATGTGATTTTCTAATGTATATAATAACACGTTATTTTTTTCTTGCTAAAATCATTCATTAAAAAAAAAATAAAACAATTAGATGAGACACCTTAACACAATAGACTTAGGCTTTGTTTGGTAAACCTAGCTGAAAAGCTATAAGCTAGGAGCTGAAAGTTGAAAAGCTATAAGCTCGGAGCTGAAAACTGAAGAGCTGTTAAGCTAGCTGTTATGATTGAAAGTGTTTGGTAAAATAAGTTTTTTGATAAGCTGATAAATGTAAAAAGACTAAAAAGAACATCTTCATAAAATTTAAATTAGTTTGTTTACATATTAAAATTTAACACTTTGTCTTTAAAAAAAATAACATTTTGAAATAAAACTATTAGCATAATCATGATGTAGCATCTCACAATGAAGTAGCAATATTGTTGCAAATCTCATAATAATGATAATAATAATAATAATAATAATAATAATAATAATAATAATAATAATAATAATAATAATAATAATAATAATAATAATAATAATATTTACGGTGAAAGTGCAGATAAAGAATACGAGAAAAGGATTTTAATTGGTAAGGTAAATTATGTTATTTCTTTAAAATAATAAGGATAAAGATGGAAACAAAGTTAGAAAGCTAGAAGCTTATTTTGACACGCTACCTGAGGTAGCGTTCCCAAATAAGCTCTTATTTTAAGCTAGGAGCTTATTTTGGGACATTACCAAACAGAGCTTATAGCTTATTAGTAGCTTAAAATAAGCTATAAGCTCCTAAATAAGCTCTGCCAAACAGAACCTTAGCTAAACCTCATCGATCCTGTTTGACAAGATTAAAACCCAAATGTTATCAACCAATGCCTTCCCCAAAGATGGGGGAGGCACACTAAACACCTTTAGTTTTGATCCTAGTTGAAAACCATGCAAGGCTACGACATAAGCAACTTTATTATGTTCTCTAAAGATATACTTTAAGCTTACACTCTATGGTTTCCTCACCCCCTTTTACAAACCTTTGGCATCTCACCTCCACTCAATAACTAAATCATTAGTGATAGGGATTATCCCCTACTGAACCGTAGCCCACACTTGGTCGGTATCTGGTCCCGTATTTAAGAGGAGTCTGATCTGACCTTCACCAACTTGAACAAATGCCTAGTGCGGTTTGGCTGGAAGGATGAAGGGCAGTATCCACCAGCCTGCCCCGAGCACTTAATGTCGGCACCGAGCCACGACCTATGACACTTGGAGGCGGCACCCCTAGAGGAATCAGGAATCTTAGGACACGTTGACGAGCTCGGGAACCTTTGATCCACTATCAAACCTTGGGAACCTTTGACCCATTGTCAAGTCATCCGAGCTCAAGGACTTAAACCAACAAGCAGACTAAAAAAGGGACCGTAGCCGGAACTGACCTTAGTACTGTAGAGAGTAGTATAAGCATGTATTTACTACATCAAATAGCTTGCTTCAAATCCAATCATTATTTGATATGATGCTAATATGTACCGTTTAAAAAATTGTTTACCTCATCCACCAGGTTTCTCAGGTCGCGGTAAACAAATTATATCATGGACCAATGTCCACTTTGTATTATAGACCTGGTCTAAAATGACATTAGATTGTTTACATGCAATTAGTTAACATACTATGTGTATATCGTTAACAAATTATGTGTCAACTACAATGTGAGGTGGACGTTGGCCTATGGTATAGCAATTCGCAAATTATGCAGTAGACTCGTGTCTACAATGCATTGTGGACACGAGTCCAAAACGACGTCGTTTTTAGGGAAAACGCGTCATTTCAGTTAAAAAAATTTTGATTTTGTCTCGCTGTTAACGGCGTAATTCGTTTGTGCCATTATGAATGTACAATTATGGGATTATGAATGTACAGTTATGGAATTACGAATGTACAGTTATGGAATTATGAATCTAAGTTATAAAATTATGAACACAGAGCTCTGACATTATGAACATATAGTGATAAAATTATGAACATAGAGCTCTAAAATTGTGAACATCGAGCTTTGAAAATTATGATTTTACAGTTATTGAATTATGAATGTACAGTTACAGAATTATGAATGTACAGTTATGCAATTATGAATGTACAGTTATGAAATTATGAACACAGAGCTCTGACATTATGAACTTACAATATGAACATATAGTGATAAAATTATGAACATAGAGCTCTAAAATTGTGAACATAGAGCTTCGAAAATTATGAAGTTACAGTTATTGAATTATGAATGTACAGTTACGGAATTATGAACATAGAGCTCTGACATTATGAACTTACAATTATGAACATATAGTAATAAAATTATGAACATATACTCCTATAACAAAGCGGTCTGAATAAAAAAAAAAAGAAAGAAAGATAACAGTGCCTAACGGCACTGTTACCTGCACACAGGTCCATATTTGGAATTTAAACATAAAAAGAAAAAATTGTTTATTTCCAAAAACAATTTTAATTGGGGAAATATTGCTTGGATAACTCTCCAAGATATACATTGACTTATCCAAATAAGTGTGCAAACCAAACAATGAAAAATGGATGGAAAGATTGGTTTCAACTTGCTACCGTTTACTTGTCGAAGTCAACATTTCCCGTGGTAAACTATTAAGAAATAGTATACTGCAAAATTATTAATACAAGACAAAAGTACAAAATAATAAAAACTTCACTCCTTCGTAAAAAAAATATTGTATTATAATAACATAGACGTAAAATTCTGCATAAAAAAATTTAAGATTTAATTCTTATCCCAACATTATAAGTAAAATTACCAAGTCAGATGTGTCACAAACGTCAAGCATATGAGTCTTATTACACATCAAGCTTTTGATAATTTTCATTTTAAAAAGTGGTTGATGGATTTAATTAATCTGAGTGACCCGATAATTAAAGAATAGGATAAATAAAACGGACAATAATAATACAAAAAGATAATGAACGTGTGTCACGGGAACAAATCTTGTACTAAAAGACTATTGCAAGATGATTACAAGAGATTATATGTATTTGGACAATAAAGATGATAAGATGATAAATGATGATGATGTGACAATTACATGAATATTTATGCTAATGAGTCTCCTAACTGTCTTACTAAAAAGGAGTTAGTTGCAACTACTTAGACCGCGCCCGATATCGTGGTCGGGGCCCGTCTGGTGCCATCAACCGAGGCACAGGCCCAGGCCTAGGTCAAGCTTAGGGCTCAGCCTAGGCGGTCAAGGGTCTAACGCGGGATTCCGCCCTGGAGTTCCGAGTCCAAACGAATCTATCTTGCTCCGCTACATTAGATCGATTTACTACGGGCCAACCTCCAATATATCCATGTTATTTGTATTTTAGTAGGTATTTACACTTGTACAAGGCACTAGCAATTTACATTATTATCCAATTAAATTAAGGATAAGTACGAGATTATACAGTATAAATATATTGCCATTTGGTGGGGTACCCCACAACCCAAGTGGGTACCCACCCGTAAGCAGGGGTGTGGACCCCGATCCAACATGACCTGCACCGTGCAAAGTGGCATCCACCACCAAAATGTGTGGACCCCTATTTTTGCACTCCTCAACATTGTACAAAGTGCATACCAAGTGGTTTTTATCCCTTTTTAAAAATTTTTCCAGAGCGAATGTTAAAAGTTGAAAATTATTAACAAGTCACCATGTCAAATCACATAATTTAACAATTTATTAATCATTTTCCACAACCAAAAAAAAAAACAAAAAAAAGAGTTGCCAACCTTTTGCCCACTTACAGTCTTACAGAGACCTTTCAGGAGACTTATCAGTTGCCATTGGCAAGAAACAGACATCAAGCATGCGTGACAAAATGATATAAGAATGTCTATACGGACTTAACTTAATCGTTCAATAGGTAGTATTTGAAAAAAGAGATCAAAGTTCGAATCTCGATAGCGATAGTAGTAAAAATTATGCTCAAAGTAGGCCGATCATGAGTCACCGTGATTTACGAATCACCATAGAAGGAACGATTGAATGTTAATTTTTTAAAAATGTCTCTCATATGGATTCCGTAAGAAATCATGAGTTCATACTAGAATTGATGTGAAATCGTACCACATTAACATTATAACACACTTTTCATGTATGGTGCTGGTGGATAAGGAAGAAAATGTAGCAAAAATATTAGCAGTGTACATATTTCCAGCTTGATTATGTGTGTTTGTGGCAGTGATTGATGAACAATTCAGCATTGTTGAACTTGAAAATTTTCTGTACTGATTAAATTCCATTGGCAATGGCAGCAGGTTTAATTTCCAGTAGTGTTTCAGGAGCAAAAGAGCCTTGAAAACAGGTAACCATGGCAGCCCTGAACAGTGTCGATCAAGGGACAAGTCTGGCATGCGTCTTCCACCGGACGGTCCATCCATTTTCTGGACAAATCATCGCAGATCACGGCGATCTGATGTTGCAGAACAGCTGCACCGAGAGGTCCTACCAAATTCAACCTAGTTGCGGCGGAGATCACATCTCTCATTGTTATGAACATGTAACCCTTCTGAGAAGCTTCCGGATCCAATCCGAGAAGCCCGCAAACCATTCCGAAAATGGGGGCGTGGTGGAAATTCACGCCGCCTGTACTCAGAGACGCATCTCTCATTGTTTTGAGGATCGGAATTTCCAGGAAAACAGCGGCCGCAACTCTCATGAGCGCTGATCCTTGCGAGATCGACGCCTTGCGGCTCACTTCGTTTGTCAGTGTTGCATCCAGCGTCCTGTCGAGCTTGTGCCATGTCTCCATGTCGGGAGATGTGGCTGCAGTGTAAACAAAAGGGAGAAGTAGACTTCCGGTGTTCTCCAGTACATGGATCAGGAATGTTCGAAGATCTTCAGGCCCCGAGACGATTCGAGCTTGAATTGCTGCCTCAAGGCCAAAGGAATGAGCAAATCCTCCTGTGGGAAGAATGGAATCTAGCAATTGCCATTGGCTCCACGTACGTGATGCTTCCTTTGGGGTACAATCCATAGCTCCATCATTTTTCTCCTCCATTGCAACTACAAAAACACCATGAAAAGGTCTGGATTAAATGGAGATAAAAGGGAAAATAAAATGAAGAATCTATAAATTAAAGGTGAACCAACTGAACTGGATTAAGACTCTGGGAGTTTATTAGTGCTTGCGGGAAGCTTAAAATCTTGCTTCTTAAAAATTTACAGGAGATTGGGTGTGGTATGAGTATTGTGCCTGATGCCTGTCAGATGTTTGATAAATTGTCTGTGAATGAAACATATTTGGATCTCTCTTGTGTTTTATTATTCTCCAGTAATCAAGTTAATTAACATATAGTCCAGTGAAAATCCATGACTGAAAAACCTTTAATGAAAATCTTATTTACTTCAAATATGGATTTCAGATCTTGTTTATTCTGCAATATTTGCATATAATCAAAGAGAGAGAGAGAGGAATTACCGTACCGAATCTGAAGAGAAGAAAGTTGAGCTAATTTTCGCAGCCTTTACACAAATTGATGCCTAGATTGAAGAATCAAGAGCTGAAATAAGAGTAGGAAGAGACTCAGGAGAGGATGATTAGATGAAGCTGGCCCAAAGGCCTAATCTTTGGTTATCGTACTGGAGCCCACAAGGAAGTGAAGGTCAACATGGTCATAGCTTAGAAGTAACGTTAGGGAGGAGAACTGGAGAACCGCAAAAAGATGAGAGCTTGCAGCAAAAATAGTCTTTTTATTCTTGGATTTCATGGATGTCAAATAGAGGAGAAGATAAGCACCACAAGGAATTTAAAAAAAAAAAAAAAAAACCCCAAATCTTCAATCAGCTGGAGGTAACATCATATTACTTCATGCACAATTTATTACCATTTGAGTTGTCTTACTGTAAGAACTTTTTTAATTCATTTTATAAAGGTTTTTGTGATGCCATGCCACTGTTTTACGCTTCTACTATATGTTTGCAGGAGATTCCAGTTTTGTTCTTGAAACAGTATAACTTGTTTACTCTTCAGAAATGTGAAAAAACAGACTTACAACTGGGAAAGACTCAATCTTTTGAATGAAGTTTGGATATGAGAAAAAGGGACATTATGATACAAACTATGCATTTGATACAAATCACACAGCCTCCTTGAGGCTTCTGATCAGAGGGAAAAAAGGGGGAAAAGGAAGGAGATCAGTTACACTTCCATTGTCTTCTGATTCAAAGCTGTGTATCTCCATCTCTCTTTCTCCGCAAAGTCTGCATCCAGAAACTGAGCTATAAATGCCCAAAGCCGGTAGGTGTCTTCAAAGTTGGTCAAGAAGTTAAGTGCAATTGTAACCACTGCAATTCCCAGCTCAGCTTTTTTGCTTCTATTCCTCCCTTCTTCCTTTTCTTGACTTTCCCTTTTCTCTAAAACACTTTCTATCTCTTGATCATACTTGTCTGGGAACCAAATCTGATGTAGAAATCCGTGGCTGAGAGAGATGTTATTTCGATCAGCTAGCTTTTGTACAAGGGTGGGGTCTACCTTCTTCCCTTTCCAGTCATACAAATTAAAGGCCAATGCAGCTCCCCTGTCAAATTTTATTCTTGGTCCATAGATTTTGACCAGTGGTAAACACTCCAATCTATTTGGATGCTGGAGCTTCATGAGTGCAGTAATCAGCCAATTAATTAGGTATCTTTGTCTGTTATTGACTATCCTCATCCCTAGCGAATCCACTTGATCTAAGTACCTACATTCACATGCACAGTCTCCATGGCCTTCCAGTTCAAGAATCTGGTGGAGTGAAGCAATAGATTCCTCTGATTTCTCTTTTCCTGAATGTTCTGGATCAGTAAATGTTGAAGAAAATTCTTTTCCTTTCATTCTTGAAATATTGCCTTCTGTAGATTTTCCACTACTGTGCTGAGCAGAAATGGAGCATGTAGAAGAATTTGATGCATTTTTGTCATCTGCTTTTATCCAAATATTGTACATCTGTTCAAGTTCTTTGTCTGTACCTGAAGAATCTTCTAGCGAACGAAGTAACTGTGTTGGTGGAACAAGAGTTACAATGCCAGCACTTGTGGAAGCTTCCAAAATTGATACAACTGACTTCTTAACTATGAGGCAGCCAAAACCTGTTGGATTGCTCCCCAAAACCTTGTAGAAAGAACAAACGAGGAAGTCAGGATGACAAAGAGAGAGGCCAAGGCTGTCCATGTCCTTTGGTCCAAGTGCACAAGCATCAAGCAATACGTGCCAACCGTTTTCCTGAGCCAAACTCATCCACTGGTACGAGTAACGTGCTCCTGTTACTCTTGACTGAAGAGGAAACACAAATAATCCCCTGGAATTCTTCTCATTTTTCTTCCTCACTATCATTTTCCTTAACCTTGCAGAGTTAACTCTTAACCGTGGCCATTTGAATTCAGCTGATGTGATAAAAGCACCTCTTTTCTCTGATGTATCAACCATGGTTCCTAGTGCCTCACTTTCATGGTCATAAACTGTCAAAAGCTTTCGACTTGATCCAAAAGGGTAAGATTCTGCTAGAAGTTTGAAAGCTGAAGATCTGTTTGCAGTAAAGACCATACAATACTCATTTTGGGAGATTTTCAGGTATTCCATGATCCTCTGCTTGATGGCAGATTCCAAATCTGATCCTTGACCACCATGCAACAGCTGTGACTTTAGATTCACAGCCTTGAAGGATACATCAAAGACTGGGAAATTAGAAGAATGGGGTGAAAGAGAAGAAGAAGATGCAAGCTGAGACTGAAGCTGGGAGTCAGAAAATAGACCAATACCATTGTAATCTAGGCAGACATGAGATAGGTTATGGTATTCTTGAGCTCGAATTTTGTCAATCTGACAAGTCTCAGAATATTGAGGGTAGGCTTTGATGAATTGAACAAATGATTCTTGTAAAGATGGAAGAGACTCATGGTTGGTGAAGAGAGTATTAGGAAAAAAAGAAGAGGCGGTCGTGTCAGCAAAGTTGGGATGGCAAACTGCAAATATGTTTCTTGGCATGGAAACAACCTTCTGCTGTGGTGGGGATTCAACAATTCTGAAGGGAGGGTTTGGGCAACAACCTTGAAATACCTGCTCAACCTCCCTCAAACAAGGTGACTTCATATCTGCCAGACTCCCCTCTGAACCACACTTTGTGATGCATGTTTTTGTCTGTGAACACTATGTCCTTCCTCCATTGCCTCCTTGTCACTTTCAGTCAGTATTCATGACAATAAATGCAGCAGTTAATTAAATGGCCCAGTTGTTAAGACTTGTCGGGGAAATTCAATTATTTTTCTTACCTATTCTTCTTTTCCCAAAAGGTTGAATCTCCAACTACGTCCCGCATTTGGGAGGATGTAAATTACGGTGACTCAATGACTTAGCAGAAATGGCCAAATGCCGGTGCGCACAAGAGATCTACCGACTTTTGACAAAATCCCCACATTGTGGCTGCTGAAGTTCGAACCTTGGTTTCTTCTCCCAAATACTAGTTACTGAACCAGTGAGCTAAGCCCGGACAAGATCTCTTACCTATTCTAACAAGTTTGGTTGGTTGTGACAGGTGATGATTGTATTTGACATTTTCTTCATAATTAACTAAGTTTTTCTTCCCTTATTAAATGACTCAGCAGATGACGGTTAAGCTAACTCTATTGCCACTAGATGACAGTGTCAGATTACTTGCTAAAGTTGACTCAGCATCCTTAGTGTGTGGAAACCATAATCAAATTTTCTGCATCCAGCTTCTGCCTATCCCCACATCATGTTTACTGATTCATGCTCTTCTTCTTCTTCTTCTTCTTGAATTTAAATAAAATTTATTTGGTGGCAACAATTTTTTTATTGGCCGGCATCAAAGATGCTGTCTATGCCAAAGAAAGCTCTTTTTTGTTTGTGAAGGAAACTTTTATATAGTGTTTGGATCTTTGTGCTGGTCAAAGAGAGCTTTTTTACATATAATTATTCCTTTTAAGAGTCATTTTTGGGCTTAAAAAGGATGCTTACACAAGCTAAATAGTCATTACTCTGCTCTCACCTTCTCATAGTTGAGAAGTAGTCAATGAAAATTCTCCATGGCATATGACTGAAAACTTATTAATTACTTTTTTTGCTTTTCTTTTCTTGTTTCTTTTGCTCTGCCAAAGACCTCTTCAAATTCATTTCTTGGTTCTAAATATTTGTATATGTTAAGCAATGTATTATATTAGACTATTAGCATTAAAAATATTTACTACCTTCTACTACAAAGCATGGTTTTTATGATTAAAAATTCTTATGCTTCAAAAAGAAGTAGAAAGTAAAAACCAATAGTGGGATTTACTTGTAAACTCGCGTGGTTCAAAGCCAACCAGATTGTGATTAATCCTTGCCTTGTTGAACAGAGCTTAGTCCATAGATGTTCCAGGCTCAAAACTATGCATATACAGTAATACAGAGAAGACGAGAGCTGGCAATGCTTTTCTTGATATTCTGTATTCACTAAACGAAGAAGAAGAACCATACCTTCTGCATCAGCGGCAGCCAACGGTGTTTATGTTCCTCGTTTTAAGCTGAAACAGTTACAGGGCAACTCTCCTTTGGCATGCTAGATTTATGTTTTGTTGAAGCAACAATGCATGCCAATAAAGAGTAGCCCTATCACTGTTTCACTTACAAGTTGATTCTTGTTTCTGCTGCTATTTTGTTATGGTTTTCACTGCTTAAACCTAGGTACCATGCTTTATATATATATAAGGAACTCTAATATCTGTTTCAATGAACAGAATAAACCATGGGTGGATCAGCATATCCAGTCACAGTTATGCTGTGGATCTCTCTCCACTTGCTGCTTTTCTGGTCAGAAACTTTTATCTTTCCCACCCCATTTCTTGAAAGCTCCTTTTGTTTACAAAGTTATCAGATTCCTCCCTGAAATTATATTTGTTTGTGGGGTGCAGAAAAAGTGGTTCAAATCTGATGCTTTATACTTTTACCCTTTGAAATGTCTCATGAGCAAAGTCTAAAAATAGCATATCCTTGTCATATTCTTCATTATTTTTTTCCTCAAAAGAGCACAACCCTCCATGTGTACAGCACTACAGCCTATGAATCTTAAATTCTTAGGCAAAGTTATTGTGTTACATGTGTCTATAATGACATTATTCTATTACATATTAGAGTTTGCTGAGAAACTGAGAAACACAAAGTTTCATGTTTGGTTTAAAGGTGAAACATGACCTTAATGGCATTACCACCACCAGCACTGGTCTCAAAGGCTTGTTCCAGCTCCTCTTGAGTGAAGTTAAATCTGTGGGTTATCAGTGGCTTGACATCTATTTTCCCACTTCTAAGAAATTCAATGCAGAGAGGCCATGTGTTCCTGTATCTGAAAATGCCCACAATATCTACTTCCCTATCACCCAAATTGAAAATTCCATGTTAGATAGAATCATATGAAATTCAGGATTATCATTTCTCAGAAATGACATGTTTGATATATTATTACCTTGCAGATGCAGCAGTAATAGGAACTGTCATCTCGGTTTGGCCTAATCCAATGAGGCATACCTTCCCGCCAGAGCTAGTGGCTTGCAGGGCTGTTGCCATGGTCTTGTTGAAGCCAACACAGTCGAAACTCACATCAACAATGCCACCCGATTTTTGGCGGATTTGCTCCACTTCCTTCTCCACATCCTGCAGCTCAAAGAGCAATTCCAACCATGTTTGGTTACATAAACATAACAGTGATTGAGTGATTCTGCAGGCCGGCCAGACAATGAGAAAGAGCAACCTGAATGCTTGTTGTGACTTGAATGGTATGGTCTGCGCCAAGGCTTTTGGCAAATGATAGGCAACGGTCATCTACATCAGCAATAAGGATTGTTGGAGCCCCAAAGGCACGAGCTGCCAGCATGGTTACAAGGCCAATGGGGCCTGCTCCGAGGATCAAGATTCTGGTTTCTGGACCTATCCCGGCACGCCTACATGCATGGACACCAACACTCAGAGGCTCACACATTGCCCCTTCTTCCAAGCTCACATTGTCAGGTAATTTGAAGCACAAATCTGCAGGATGCACCACCTAAAATCCAACATTTAAGTACTACCACCATATATTGGTGACCACGAGCCAGTTCAGGATCGGAAGCTGGAATTTCCTATCCTGGGATAATCAGGAAGCACTAGATAGAATATGATTGTTATGGGGATTTCATTTACCTGATTAGCTAAGGAGCCATTGGTGGGCGGAGAGCCAAAGAATTTCATTTCTGGGCAGAGATTGTAGCGGCCTTGTTTGCAGAGATGACATTCTCCACAGCTTATCCCAGGCTCCAGCGCCACCCTATCACCAACTGCTACAGACTTCACTTGGCTCCCAACTTCTTCTATGATTCCGGCGCATTCGTGTCCGATCACCATAGGCTTTTTCACTACGAAATTGGCACACCTCATGTGCTAAATACATACCATATTTCCACTGTAATCAGCAAATTAAAGCAGTTCAATCTTTCTTTCTTGAAACAATTTGGGCTGATAATGATTTACCTTAAAGTGATGAACATCACTTCCACAGATACCAAGTGCCTTAATCCTGACTTTCACATCATGAGGGCCTAACCAAAGATTCATTTAGATTCAGATATGTAACCAAAGAAAACCAATACTAAAAGTACGTACCAAGTGGAGGAAGAATGTATGGTTGAATTCGAAGTGTTCTAACACCAACAAGCCAAGCTGCCATGTTTTTCTCGTCTGCTTCCATCTCTCTCTCTCTCTCTCTCTCTAAGTTACGGTTGATATGATGATCAACTAGTTTGCTACTTTTACTGGCCTTCAGATCAACATACACAGAGGCGGCCAAGCTGAATTTGGCCGTACTATATCGGATTGAGACGTTCACGTAACGTTGAAACAAGATCATCATCGGTTATCCTTTTCCCCTGGTCTAGTCACATACATGTGGCATTATTGTAGATGTGACCCTTTTTACCATTCAAAACATCATCAAATATTACCCTGCATGTAACATGTTATTAAAAGAATGTGTTATATACAATCAGCCTTGTACAAATAATAAGGGACCATCCCAACCAATTTGGTTAGAAAGTTTGATAATTATAAAATTTTAAATTTGAATCTTGGTGAGAAGATAATTACAAAATTTCAAGTTTGAATCTTGGTGAGAATTGTATATTAGGCTTCTTGATTTGAGCCGGTTAGCTATGAAGAATGTTGATTTACTTTCTTGTGGTCTTTTACAAGCTAAAGTCACAAGGCATGTTTCACCCAATGATTACACCTTTGAATAGTGACTCGTTCAATTGTTATATGGAATATGGTTCAAAATGCGAAATATAATTTGCAAAATGTGTTTCACCCCTTCCATTCGGTATCATTTCCATAATTAAAAATATTTGAAAGCCCATTTTTTAAAATAGAAAATGTATTTTAAGAGTAATTAAAATGTGTTTTAACTTTGAAGTGTCATTTACTAAAAGAAAATTTGTTTCAATTTTTCGTTTATCATCAATCGTTATACTGTGTGTACCAGGGCGCATAATGCATTGTGCGCCTTCACCAAAATGACATCGTTTTAATTGTTCAGATTTTGTGTATTATGTTAAGAGTTTATGTATATTGTGTTATGAGTTTATGTATATTATGTATTGTGTTAAATTATGTGTATTCTGTTATGAGTTTATGTACATTCGAAACAGAATTTTTATTTTTTTTTAAATTTAACAGTAGAAACGAAAAACAAAATTTTTAAAACAAAAACATGTTCAAATCGACATCGTTTTGGTCAGGGTGCACAATGTAATTTGCTGTTTATCATCGTTTGACATTTAAATGGGCTTTACTCAAATGGAATACCATACATCCAAATACTATTATTTGGGCTTTCAATTTGATTTTATATTTTCATGAGAACCCAATCAACATTCATAATAGAGTTAATTATCAAAATGGTCATTTAAGATAATAAAATTACCAATTTAATCCTTAACTATTTTTTTAATTAATTAAGTCTTTAACTTAAAAATTTTAATCAATTTGGTTCTCCGTTAATTTTGCCGTTAGACTTCCGTTAACTTGGGACTAAATTGGTAATTTTTCTATAGTCAAGGGACCATTTCAGTAATTAACTTTAGGTGCAGACAATTCGGTTCGATTTTCCGAACTAAATCGTACCAAGCATTAAAGTAATTAACCTAAGGATTCTGTTAAAAACTAATTGGAAATACCGCTTGATTTTATTTAAAATATAATAATAATAATAATAAAAGAAAATACGGTTCGGTTGAGAATGGCGAGTGGTAATGACAGCCTGAAAGTCCTTGTTGTTGACGATGATTTCACCTGCTTAGCCATTGTTGCAGCCCTGCTCGTGAAAATGGAGTTTCAAGGTATGGTTTCTGGCTTTTCAATTCTCTTCGATCCGTTCAAGTTTCGTACGTGGTCCGTGTTCTTGCTGTGCCATGTTGTGTGAAAGCTGATCCATTTAGAAATTACGAATGCAGTGATGCCCGATGGATGATGATGACAGCCAAGAGGGAAATGTTCATACAAATGTCCTCAGCTCCTCCACCATGTCAACACCGCTACACTTAAAACTGTAATACAAATGTTTATCCCAGGAGGAGCATTCCCAGTTTCACATTCCTCTTCTCTAGCCGCTTTACTTTTGCTCCCCCGGCAACTAACCAACCAATTCAAACAACATACATATATACATTCGTGTTTTTAAGGAAACTAACTACATATATACCTGCAGGCTGCAGGGTAGTATGATGTTGAATCGCAACCAACACCGAAATCAGCCAACCTGCAATCCCATTCCTACTAAACACTGCAGTAATTAATATAATTTAGCGATCACTTCATATCCATTCACTCAATACATTCGAAAAAAAAAAGATACTTTGTCAGGAACCTACGAAAGTCACGGATAAATAAATAGGCCATATAGTCACTGAGCGAACAAACCTCACCATGGCTAACTTTATCTTAGGTATGCTTACATCCTCGTCAAATCTATATATATGTTGCCAGGCCACCTGCGTGCATGCAAACTTCATTACTCAGAAATTTAAGAAGAAACAACATAACACCTCGTATGAGTTTTTAAATGTTGGAGCATGAATACAATAATAAGAAACTAAAGGAAAAACTTTCATAAAAAAAAAAAAAAAAAAAAAAAAAAAAAAAAAAAAGATCCCGATCCAGTTAATAGACATGCAGGAGCGCCGCGCCCATGAACTGGTGACATACATGTGCACACTCAAACCCCCTACCAGATGAGATTGCTTAACATCCTCAATTGTCAAGAAAACTTTCATGTTGCAGCTGCATCTTCCTCTACATTAACGATTATATAATCACATTATGGATAAAGGATAATGGTCGGTGTACACTGAATCAGAAAACAGTACTATCCCAAATGGTCGGTGGTTTTCTGTGGGCCGCGTGGAGTGGTGGTTATCCGGTGTAGGGTGGCTGAATTGAAGCTTCGGCTATATATAGTGGCAGCCATGGTTGAAGTTGGAACCATCTTCAATTCTTCTCACTGCCATCCCTTGTGAAACTCCTTCTTGCTTTCATCACTCTGAAATGTTGAGAATGGCGAGTGGTAACGACAGCCTGAAAGTCCTAGCTTCTTGTTGACGATGATTCCACTTGTTTAGCCATTGTTGCAGCCCGGCCTGCTCGAGAAAATTAAACGGAGTTCCTATTTTTGTATTCTCTCCGTTCAAGTTCCGTGCGTGGTCTGTGTTCTTGCCGTGCATCTTCTCCGTCGTGGTCTTCTCCGATTTGATTTTGGAAAAACTTGCTTTGATCTTCGGAAATATAATGGTGAATTAGGGTTTTTATCCCCACCCCTTTTCTTGTTTTTCGAATGTATGTAGACGTCACGATTTCTTTTGGGGAAGGGATTCCGGTCGGGTTCCGTGCTCCTGCCGTGCGCGCATGATCTGGGATTCCATTCCTCATTCGTGTTGAATGGCATATATA